ATAAAATCAGCATGGTACTAATGAAAAATCAGACTGGAAGATCAATGGGACAGATTAGAAGATGCAAACATGAATACAAATACACTCAGCCACTTTATCTTTGACAATGGGGCTAAACATGCTTACTGGAAGAAAGACATCCTCTTTAATAAATAGTGTTGAAAAATTTCCACATGCCAGAAACTAAAACTAGATCCATGTCTATCACCGTGCACTAAACTAAAGTCGAAGTGGGTCAAAGATCTAAATATTAAAATAGAAACACTAAATCTACTGGAAGACAAGGTAGGTAAAAATCTTGAAGACATTGGAATAGGCAAAGAGTTCATGAACAAAATGCAAACTGCATGGGAAGTGCTTCAAAGAATCAACAAATGGGATCTCATCTTATTAAAAAGTTTTTTTCATTTCAAAAGAAATCACCAACAGAGTGAAAAGAAAACCCACAGAATGGAAAAAAAAATTTAGCCAACTATTCTATATCTCAAAACATACAAAAAATTGAAAAACATCAGGTCCTCTAAATTCAGAGATCCAGTCCAACATATATGAGTCCAACATATGAACTGAACATATACTTCTCAGATGAAGAAATACAAATGACAAAGAAGTACATGAAGCAATTTTCACCATCATTGGTCATTCGAGATTTGCAAATGAAAACAACATTGTGATTCCATCTCACTGCAGAAAGAATGGCTGCCATCAAGAAATCAATCGATAAGAAATATTGGTGGGGCTATGGGTAAAAAGGAACACTTCTCCACTGCTGGTGGAAATGAAGCCTGGTACAACCACCTTGGAATCACTGCAGAGATTCCTCAAAAAACTAGGATTGGAAGTTGCATTCAATCCAGCTATTCCCCTTCTGAGTATTTTCCCAGAAAAATTGAAAATGTCATGCCACAGCAATATATGTGCACCCGTGTTTATAGGAGCAAAATTTGTAATTGCTAAATCTTGACAACAACCCAAAAGCCCATCATTTGCAGATGAATAAAAGAAGAGGTGGCATTTTTTACATAGAGTATTCAATAGTTACAAAGAAGGACGAACTTCAGGCTTTTATAGGTCAATGGAGGCAACTTAAGACCTTGCCCATAAGTGTAATAAATGAAACTGACATGTGTAAATATCATATTGTTTCCTTTATATAAAAAACCTGAAAGAGTAATAAGATCCAATATATACAATAGATATTGTGATAATGAAAGGGAAAGTGCTCAAAAGGAAAGAACAACTGGGATAGGGGAAAGGAGAAAAGGAAGATAGGAAAAGATTATATGTAAACAGGTGTACATATATGTACATTTATGTATATATATATTCAAGATAGATAACTATACTGCTAATCCTGTTAGTTCATCATAAAGAATAATTTGTGCTTTCATCATTTGATGGATCATTTTTTCACTTTTGATCATGTAACCTGAGCAACTACTTTCAAGATAATAATGCATAATATATTACCTAGGGTTATTTTCCTACTATTTTTTGAAATTCTGTTATCATTTCTATCCATTTTTGTTTTTCTGTTTAAAATAAAGTTTAAAAAACCTTTTATTTGACTTTCAGAGTCCCTGATGACCTTCATCACCTTCAGTCATTACACACACACACACACACACACACACACACACAGAGACATACTCCCGCTCACCTCCTCGTATGCCACCTCATCACTGCTTGACGCACTCCCCTCAGAAAGCATAGTCACTGAGGAAACTGCTACAGTATTGGAAAAGTAAATCACGCAGTGTTACGTTCCTGGGCTGAAGAGCACATTGCACAGGATGAAGGCCTGTTGGCCATTTACACTCACTGTCAGGGTCCAGCCACACTGGCTTTGAAGCCAGCATTTATTCAATCACCTCCTATGTACGATGCGTAGGAATTTTACGCATACAGCCTTGGATGATAATGTGATTATAATCTAACATAGGAAGTGAGCCTGAAAAGGAATTATTATGAACACATTGATAAATTGTTATCTGGATGCATATAAATGTCACTGGTCACTAGGACACATTTGTTTTCCTGGTGCATGGTGAAGAGCCACAGGTCACGGAGGACCTGGCTCAAGGTATGTCCTGAGGGCTCCTACTGCCTGAATGAGACAATCTGGCCAGTGATAACTCCCTTTAGCTGCTTACATGTTTTGTGGGTGATAACTGTTCCAAAATATTCAACCAAAACTGGGCCATTCTATGATATTTGTCTTTTAAAAATAATTGTGCTCTTTAACAATTTCAGTAACGAAACTTTTAAGAATATCATTAATCTGGAATTAATCAGAGCTGGACCATTTCAGTTAAAGCAATCTGTTTGCTCATGTCAAATGTTCAACAAAATATGTAAGACTTAATTTGCTCAACAAAACTATGTGATTTGCATTTTATTCCCCATATTAGTTTCCTGAAATGGTCAGCTTTCTTGTCCCTTGACAGTTATGTTAAGCAGTAAAAATTAAGTAGGTGGAAGATGACACGTGCGGCTTCCCTGAGCCAGGCATGTGTATTGAAGGAGGCCCAGCCCTCCCATGGAGCAGCTGACCCGCTCTGGCCCATGCACCAGATTTACTCAGAAAAGGATTCTCATTTCTTGGCCAACCCATAATCGGTCCTAGAAAAGGACTTCTTCTGTCTCATTTTTATTTGAACAAAAAATGGTTAAAATAGGGCAATGTCATTTTTTTAACCCTGAATGGGGACTGCCACCTATTAAAATGCTAATTTAAAAAAATACAAGAAAACCAACTACAGGCACCAAAGACAGCCAGAAAGCAAGAGGAATGAAGTCCACTGAGTGATTAATCATTTGGTGAACCTGGTAAGTCTCTGGCCAGTGCTAATTAGCTCACTCACAAAGCCTGAGATGAGCGGCTGGCTTTGATTAAAGAGCTGTTCGGCCATCCAAACCCTGATGCTAAAATATGATGTCCATGCTAAACTCTTCTCTTTCTTCCAGCTATGATTTCTCAGTCCCTGATGCTTGTACCTAGGCACATGTCTCAAAGATGAGACACAATCCTCCCTCACATTCAGAGAGTGCAATCTCTGCAGTAGGGCTCTGTGTCCCACAGGAAGGTACATGGTCTTAAGTCCCTCAGCTGTGGGATGACCTGCAAACTGTGTCCAAGTGTAGCTTTCACTGGTCCACCTGGCTATCAGGAGGTGTCCCTGGAAGATGTTGCCTCAGGAGGGGTACAAAGCTGCTACACCTTCATTATTCAATGGAATTCATGAGCTTTATAAAAGGATTCTTGACATTAATAACAATGATGCTCTTAACTTTACTATGGAGTTTGCCTTTACAGTATCTTTCAAGTTTACTTCTTCTTGGCTCAGCTTTGCCATTTTATTCATTTTAATTGTTTTTCCAGATGAAAACATCTGTGTTTTCCATTGCACAAGTTTAGAGCAATCTAGACCTCGTGCAAGAGAAACAGGGTATGAAACACTCTTTCTGTGCCACTCTTCTACTTTGGATCTGTATACAGAATCTTTAATTGTTTGAATCTTGTTTAAAAATAACTGAACACTTTCTCTGGCTACACAGTGTATCTATGGGTCCGACAGCCTTGTCACAGTTCCTCTGGGGCTTCTGTGGGAATGGAGATGAGGAGGGAATGCAGGCTGGACAGCTACGGTACAGTGTCGAGGTCAGAGTCGAGTCCCATTCTATAATGTTCAACTGGATTACACTATGGTGTTACGGTGGATACTGTGTCCACGCTGGATGTCACATTGCAAAGGTGTAGTGGCAAATCAGACTCACCCAGCAAAGGGCAGGGAAGGGAGTTTCACAGGGCCAAAGTCACGCAGGGCTGAAGTGGGTGTGAAGTGGGGGAGCCGGCATCTGTCTTTAAATAATGTATGAAAGGATTTTTATTGACTGTAATGTCCCCCTCACATGGCACACTGCCTATTAAAAAGCAACCGTAAACCAGTATGGCAGTGCATGCTTCTAATCCCGGCACTCTAGGAGCCAGGCATTGTGGGCATGGCCTGGAAGGAGGACTGTAAGTTTGAGCCCAGCCTGAAAACTTAGTGATTTAGTAACACTCTGCTTAAAAACAAAACAAAACAAAAACAAAAACAATATAAAAAGTAGTCATAAACAATACCAATCAGCATTTTTTTTTTTTTGAGTACAAAATGTGTGCCATCATTGTAACAGGGCTTTTCTTATCTCTCTGTAATTAGAAATGTTTATTATGCTCCATGTCCAGTTAAGGAAACTCGGTTTGGAAGGTGTGGAAACCTTGGCCAAAGTCCCAGGATGATCTGTGACCTGGGAGGATGTGCCAGCTGGACCCTAGGGCTCTGCTGTGTGACCTGCAGAATGCTTTCTGCATGCTGCAGTGGTGACTGAATCTGGTGACTGCATATTGCCAAGAAGCTGAGGGCCGGGGACCTGAAGTTACCCATTGGTGTTTCCCAGAAGAATGAAATCCCAAGTCCATCTGTCTATTGAATCACAACCTCTTGCTTACCAGGCCCTGGAACCTCCCTGATCAAACAAACCCAGACATGCTTGTGGCTCGGGTGTGACACAGCACTGTTTTTTCAAGTCTGGGTCTCCCTGATTTTCACCTCCTGCTTAATTTTGGAGAAATGGGGACTTCCTTGGCCACAGTTCCAGTACCCTGCTGGCTCTCACCTGGGGCTCTCTGCTCTCGCTGGGCTCCAGTTCCCAGCTAGCTGACCTCCCACCTGGTTACATGGATAAGCATAAGCTCAGCTTTCCAAGGATGTGTCAGTGTCCTGGTATCAGATGACCTAGTGCTAAGTGCTTCACCTCTGCATGTTTAACTCTTCCCTATAAGAATCCCATGAGTAGAATGGTTATTATCTACAGGTCACAGATTAGTAATCAGCCTCTCAGAGCGGCTAAGTAACTTTCAAGATCACACTGCTAATTTTAATCATTGGGCAGTTCAGGTTAATAATAATAATACACATGTTCCTTCCTTAATAACACTCTGTTCCTTCTGACAGCACTATGGTCCTCCTGTGTGCCTCCCACTACTTGCTTCTCATACTTGGCATCCACACATGACAACTTTTTCATCATGGGAAGAACATGGAAGTCCTCAAATTCACCAGAGTGTCACTGAGTAAGTTTCACATTTAGGTTATGCTTTGTATATTAATGTGCTCCCCAAAGCCTCTTGCATTCATAGATGGGGATTTGGGGGGTGATTGGATCATGCAGACATGGTACTTGTCAGTGGATTAGTTCACTGACCATTGAAAGGTTATAGTAAATGTGTTGTTGGGTGGCAAGGCCTGGTGAGTGGAGCTGTGTCACTGTGGGCATGGCCTGGAAGGAGACAGATGTACCCCTCCTTCTCCCTTGATTGCTACCTGCTGCCATGAGCTGCTTCTCCTCCATCAGCCCCTCTGCCTTGGTGCAGCCAGTCATGGACTGAAATCTCTACAGTATATGAGCCTTGTAAACCTCTCCTTTAACTTGTGGGTGTTGGTTATCAGGTCCCAGTAACAAGGAAGCAACTAAGACAGCTGTCACCATTAATTTAAGTAAAATCTTATCGAAAGATTAAAATATAAGTCACTCAATTCCTAGAGATAGGAATCAATCAATCAATCAAGGAAACCAGGGCTTCTGGAAATGAAATGAGTTTCTGTGCTGTCCATCTGGTAGGTGAGGAAGCTGGGCCAGGATTTCAGGGCCTTACAATCTGACGTATGTATTTTCAAAGGAAAGCAGGTAAGTAATCTAGAAGTTAATGTGTGAGGATTACACAGTGATGGGACATATTCAAGAAACCTACAAAAGTTGTGAGGTTTCATGAACTATTGGTAGAGTTTAGAAAGGTATAAAAGTTTTGAGGGGTGTTAAGTTGTCTGGTATTACAGCTAAATTTATCCCTTTAGCTACACACACACACACACACACACACACACACACACACACACACACTCATGTGTGCATACACTCCCTTGCTTCTCTGTTTGGCTTCTCCCACTTGAATGTGAGCCATTGTCTCCTCTGCCTGGAATGCACAGTGAGTGCCTAATGCATTCTTGCCCATTTTTAAATGAGTGCCTGGAACAGGGAACCAGGCACATGCCCTTCACCAGCCCAAGAATTTGAGTGATCTTGATGACTCATCACTAGGAAAAGTGGAGAGCTGGTGATGCCGGGTTCTCCCAGAACTCGCAGGCCCAGCTCCGATGGTGACACTCATGGCCTAACAGTGGATGTGATTATGGTGTATTTATACTGTTTAAAGTGCAAAAGCCTCAAGTGGTACACTGGGAGGGGATCCCTCACATCCTGTGTTCGGTCACCCAGAATAGCTCCTCTGATGCCACACTGTGCCAGTTCCTGCCAGCTATTGGAACTGCTTTGTGCAGGGTAAATGAAGACAGATAGAGACACGTGTCCTCTTTTTTTGCACATGATACAGGGTGCTATAATGTTGCTCTGCATCATGCCTGTTCTCTCGTTTCCACAGTAGGCAATAATACATAGCGGAGAGTGTAAAATCTTTGTGTTGTATGTGAAGTTTTCTCTCGTATATGCCCACGAGGTCCCCACCTACCCACGGTGCAGTTTTCCAGCACTCCATTGCAGCCAGGATGGAGTGAAAGGGAAAGAAGGAAGTTGGTGAGTGTTTTGAAAAGCTCCATTCTGCTGGAGTGGGTTAACTTTTTGCTCCTATTGCCTGCGGACAGCACACCCCAAATTCTTTAGCTTCTAGTGCAGACACATACTAACACCTCTCCAAGGAGCTTCCAGGCCTTCTGTCTCAGATGGGAGCTGCCTCCTTGATCTGCCTTGTTCTGTGTCTTCCAGTTTGTTAGACTGCGATCCCCCAGCTCCAGCACGTGAACAGCCATTGTGAACTGTCCTGCCTCTGATCTTGTAAACTCGCCTAATAAAGCCCCTTGCATAGTTATGTATATGTGTATATATTCTATCCATTCCATTCTTCTAGAAAACCCTAATCAGTACCGACTCCAAGAGCGAGCTCTAACATTAGCTAGGCTTCTGGTAGTGATGCGCTTGTGGATGCTGACTGCTGAGAAGGCTGCACACGTGTGGCAGAGGGAGACTCATGTGTACTCTGCACACTATCCTCTCGATTTCATTGTAATGAATTTAAAACTGCTCTAAAAACAGAAGTCTGTTAAGGTATTTTAACAATCTTGTTGGGCATCTAATTTAAATACTGTCATTTTTTTTTCAAAAACCATTCTTAATTTTATTGATATTTGGTATTTTTTTCTTGCCTCTATTTTATTTAAGTCCTGCTTCCAATTTAGAATTGAAATTGGTCCTGTTTTTCTGGTTCCCTTAAGTTCAGTACTATGTTGTTTATTTGCAGTCTTTCTTTTTCTTTGATGTAGGGATGGATTACTATAAACTTTCCTCTTAGGTGTGATTTACTGAATGCCATAAGTTTTGGGACATTGCATTTCATTTTCATTTGTCTCAAAAACTTAAAATTTCATTTAAACTTCTTTATTGATCCATTAGTTATTCAGGAACATGTTATTTCATTTCTGTGTATTTCTCAAGTTTATCCTGGCATTGATTTTTTATACTATGTTATTGTGGTCAGAAAAGATATTAGGTATGATTTCAATATCTTTGTTAAAACTAGTTTTGTGGCCTAACATATGACTTTCCCTGTAAACTGTTCCATGTGTATTTGAGAAGAAAGTATATTCTCTATTGTCTGCTGGTCTATGTAGTCTAGAATGAGGGTCACTCCAGTGTTTCTTTGCTGACTTTTTGTCTGCAAGCACTATCCATTGTTGACTGTGGAATATTAATATTCCCTACCATTGTTACATTGCAGTGTGTTCTATGAATACTTGTTTTACATATTTTGGTGCTCTGGTGTTGCATATATATATATATATATATATATATATATATATATGTAATATTCTCTAGTTGAATTGACCCTTTTATCCTTGTATAATGACCTTCTTGGTCTCATCTAAAATTTGTCATTTAAAGTCTATTTTATCTGCTATAAGTATAGCTATTCTTTTTTTTTTTTTTCGTCTTTTTCGTTTTTATCGGAACCAGGGATCAAACTCATGACTGCCTGCTTGTAAGGCAGGTGCTTATGCCACTGAGCTAAATCCTCAGCCCCCAGTATAGCTATTCTTGCTCTACTTTCATTTCTATTTGTATGGAATAGATAGATCCTTTTCTTTCCTCACTATTCATGTTTTCACATGTGCAGTAACAATCTTGTAGGTAGCATATAGTTGTGTTTTATTATTTTTAATCCATTCACAATTTTACATCTTTTAATTGGAGAATTTAATCTATTTATACTCAGTTATTGATAGATAAGGGCTTAGTACTACAACTTTGTTAACTGTTTTCTAATTGTATTATAGGTTATATCTGTCTTTCTTGTACTGTCTTTCTCTTTGGATGATTTCTCTAATACCATATCTTGATTTTTTGTTTTCAGTGCATCTAGTACAAGTTTTTGCTTTGCATTTACCATGTAGCTAAGAAGAAATGTATTATAGTCATAGCAGGATATTTAAAGCTGGTAACTAAATTTGTTTTCCAAAAACAAAGCAAAATCACCTCACTCTATCCTCTATTTGGGATTATTCATTTTACATCTTTTTATATTTCATATCTCCAAAAAAGTTACTGTTATTATTATTACTAATAGTTTTGTCTTTTAATCTTTATACTAAAGATATAAGTGTGATTTACACAATTATAGTATTAGAATATATTGGCTTTGTTGGTGTACTTTTTTAAAAATTTTATTTAGAGAAAGACTAAACAAAACAGAAAATAGGTAGAAATAATACATACGTTCAGAGAAAAAAATAAATAATAAGAAATTACTAGTTGATGTTTACATATTGTCATTTTACAAATAGTTGTTCAAGATACAAAAATGGAACATATAAAGTGGGAATTCAAACAGTGAGACTGCAAACAGTTCTGTTCAACTGTTCAACAAAAACTTAGTAATATGGTTGTCAGTCCTATACACTTAAACATACATGCAGCTATCGATATCTTCATTTATGTTTAGATTAAACAAACTAAAGCAGGTTAAAATCATTCTGAACAAAGAATTATAGTATTGCTGGATTTCACATCATGATATTTTGGGATCAGCACTGGGTACTGTAGTGTCTTTTTTAAAAAAATTATTTAAAGAAAGACTAAACAAAACAGGTAGAAATAATACATAATTTCAAAGAAAAAAATAAACAGTAAGAAATCACTAGTTGATGATTAGATTGTCTTCTTACAAATAGTATGCAAGATACTAAAGTGGAGCATATAAAGTGGGATTGCAACCATTTCTGTTTGACTATCCAACAAAAACTTAGAAATATGGTTATCAATCCTATACACTTAAACATACATGCTGTTATCCATATCTTCAATTATGTTTAGATTGAATAAATCCAAGCAGGCTAATATCATTCTGAACAAAGAATAATACTATTGCTGGGTTTCACATTATGACACTCCAGGATCAGCACTGGGTATTTTAGTCTCTTTTTCTTCAGAGTATCTGTTCATTTCATCATGTGTCATAAGATCAGTTCTCATAAACTGTTTATAGATTCTTCACATGCATGAGTCTTAACATGGTGTAGTTACTTTCACCAGTAATTTTTATACTTTAAAATGTCCCTCAGCTTTTGGTTTTCCAGGCAAGTTTATCTCTCCTTTGTTTCTGAATGACAGCATCATTGGGTGTAGGTAAGTTGGTTGGCAGCTTTTGAATAAATGGTTTGCTAACTTCCTAATCTGGGCAAAGTCACTTATACATTTTGTGCCTTGTTTTTTTCCTGAAGGGCTGTTGTAAAGTTCAAATGAAATAATGAATTTTAAAATGCTTAGGAAATGGCAGGACCTATCTGAATGTGTGGCTTTATCCTTACTGTGTATGTGTGTAGGGTAAATTGAGGGGTAACCTGTCTCCTGTTTCTTCTTCTGCCTGCAGGGAAAGCACTATCTTCCCAGCTCCTTCTGTGTTGCTTAGGAAGATCTTGTGATTGGCTGTGTCTGGAATTCCAGTTGAGGAATCAGGTTTCCTAATGCAGGAGCTCGGTCTCCATTTGCTGTCTTGCTTTGTCTGCTACTTACACCCATTACTCCCCCAGAGGACCTGGACCACACAGGTAGGTGTGGCACCTCCTCTTTCAGCATCCCTATGGCATGTCGGGTTGGTTCTGCTTTGCATCTTTGACTAGCTTAACACAGAAAAAGTGGGAGGAAAATCTTACATCTACCAATCTTACCCACGTGTGTCACACCAACCTGTTAGAGAAATCCTGAACTGGGCAATCTCTTTGCTGTTTTCTTTCCTGTAATTTTTCTTTGTCTGAACAGCTTCCTTGGTTGGGAATGTGGAAGAGAGAGACTCTATATTAACCTTCAAGAAACAAAACTGTATCTTCAAATTTTCAAATGTCAACACCCTCAAATTGCTATCAGAGGTTGAATACTATGCATGCTAAGTAAAGACTCAGGGCATACTCCAGAAGACCTAATCTGAAACCTGTGACTTGGAAATAGGTTATAGTTCTTCTAGTCTGAGTTTCTTCTTATTGTAAAGGGAAGCACATTTTTACCTACAAATAGAATGATCATGTAGATTCTCTATGATTGTAATGTATTCAAAGCACTTAATATGGTGGGTCCCTGTAGGAAATAGGAAATTAATGGTAAATAAAATCATTTTACTTAGTTACCAGTGTTGAAACCTTACCAAGAGTATTGATATCCATCTAATATATTTTTATTCAAAATGATAGCTAAATTGAATTGAAGACAATTTTTCATAAAGCTGGGCATTAACTTAGATGTAGATTTTAATATTCTTTCTTTTAAAAATGTGGGCTATCTCTACGTGTTTAGCTTTATTTCTCACTGCTTTTCATCAGCTATGTTTCTGCTGTCTTCCATGAAGATGTGCTTACTCATATCTCTGTCCTCTTATTAAAGCATCTCTGCCTTTTGGAGTGCCCTTCCTTTTTCTTTCCATTAATTGTCCCCAAATTCCCAGGAAGCCATTCAAAACCTAGTATTTTGCAATTGATTATATAATTTCTGACTCTGTTTGACAGTTGCAAGTATATTCAATTGTTTGCCTCATGAGTGTAAAAGTCTTGAAGCGTATTTCTTTGATTACCTGAAGGAAGGCAGTGCAATGTATTAAAAGTAGCCCACGTTGACAGTGGTGTGTTATAATGGCCCATCCCTGGTAGTAACTAAAGCACAGATATGTTTTCTTCAGATTATATTAGGGCTTCATCTCTTCATGTGCTGTTATGTAATGTCTTAGAGATGAACTGCCTTTGCTTTCAATAGAAATATGCAACCTAGCATGTATTCATTTGATAGGATTATTATTATACCTACAATGTTCCCCCAAAAGTTTCATGTGTTAGAAGGGGATAAGATCATGGGGATACTGTACCCATCAGTGGGTTAATCTGTTGAATCCAGAGCTGAACATGCTGATAGAAGGCAGGCCTAGCTGGAGAAGGCAAGTCATTGGGTGCATGGCCTGTAAGGTTATATCTTCCTGTCCCTTCTTTCTCCGCTTCCTGGTTGCCATGGAGTGAGCAGCTTTTGTCCACCATGCCCTTGTACTCTATGCTTCTACTGGCTATTTTGTCCCAGTGATGGGAAAATGACTAAGGCAGATATTGGTATCAAGAAGGTTATTGTTCTGACTCTTCCTTACCAAAGGTTCAGATGCCTTTGCAACTGATTTATGGGAAGGTTTTGGAAAGGTATGGAGATGCTTGTTAGAAAAGCTGCAGAATACTGTAAGCAGACATTGATGGGAGATTTTTTTGAAGCTCAGAAGACCAGAATGCTGATAGAAATGAGTACAGTAAAGGCTAGGCTCAGGAGGTTTTAGTTGGGGGAACAAGGACTCTATTGGCAATTAGACTCTAGATCACATTTATTTATATGCTGGCAATCAATTTGTCTTCATCTTGTGTATGTCCTTAGATTTTGTGGGAGGCTAAGATTAAGAGCGCCTGATTAATTAATCTAGTGGAGGGAATTTCAAAGTGGAAAGTATCCAACATTCAGGATATGGCATGGATACTACTGATTTACAGTGACAATCAACAACAAAAAATGGATATGAAAAATTTGCAATGTCATGAGAAAGGAAGTGTGTGTAAGTGTGTGAGTGCTGAAAAAATTTTGCATTAAAAAGGTGTTAAGTACTTTTAATTAGGACAATAAGAAAGATGGCTTGATGATGTCTTAGGAATCAGCAGTAACTTACCCATCACTCCACAGAGATGCCAAACTCTCTTTAGAGAGCTCCTGGGTTCCCTTTTAGAGAAAGGCTACCTAAAGAATTAGTTCCCTGGGATTCGTTTTATTGTGCTGTGCCATTTAAGCAGTCAAAGATCACTGTAGCTATGGTATGAGGAGTCTAAGCTACTGCTTAAGCTGCTGGAAAACCTTAGCACCATCCATATAGCACTAGTTTTATGGACATGCAGAGTGGTAGAATTATGAGATAATTAAGACTTTTCTATATAGATCTTAAAGGAAGACCTGGTAGTATGCCCCTGGGTGGACAGTGTGTGAAGATGTGAGTGAGCCAAAAGCACAGTAGAGACTCCAGGACGTTGGAGGTGGCAGGAACATGAAAGGTCTGCTGAAGAAAGCTACAGGCAATGTGGGATGCAACTGGGAAGGCTGTGTGGGTAGGGCTATCCTTTGCCCTGGGTGCTTGACATACTGCTACAAGATGGAATGCTTTGCCGTGTTGGGTTTTAGTATTGCTCTGGTCTAATCCCTTTGGATCTCTTATTTCTCCCCTCTGGAATGGGAATTTTTAACCCATAGCATTGAATGTTGAAGTAGTTAACCTTCCTTTCTTTCCCACAGAGGCTCATAGCTAAGAGTTTGTCTTGAGTCTCAGAGGAAACTTTGGACTTGAACTTTTCAGCAATGCTGGCATGGTTAAGAGTTTGGTGACATTTAGAGGTGGACTAAATGCACTGTGCAGAATGAGATGGACATGACTCTTTTGGAGGCCAGGGGTGGAATGTTATGGTTTAGATCTAAAACGTCCCCCAAAAGTTTCCCTCCTTCTCCTGTTTTCTGGTTGCCTTAGACTGAGCAGCGTTCCTTTGCCAGGTTCTTCCACCGCACATTTCTGCCTTGGAGCTGGCTGATTTTGGAGTGAACTCACTGGGCACTGTGGGCCAAATAAACCTTCCCTTCTTGCACTTGTGGGTGTTAGATATTGAGTCCCAGCAATAGGAAAGTGACAAAGACTAGTTTGAGAAACTTTTGTTAAACCTTAATTCTTAAATTTGAAATTTTCATTGGTGAAAATGACACGTTCTTAGTGTATAAAAAATTTTAATTTATTACATAATTAAATTGGAATAAGGCAGCCTACATAGAAGTAACGGGTGGAAAGTAAGGAAAGTAACAGACTGTGAATCAGCTTTTTATAACATGTATAATAAAATATTCAGGACAGGTCTTTTGTTTGAAGAGTCGCCTTACTGACAGAAAGGTGGGCATTCCTGGTTTAGTGCAGCGCTAAAAGCTGTGCACTGAAGGTATTAGACTCGTGAGTGAATGGTCTGAAAGCCTTTCCTAAAATGAAAAAGGAAATCTTGGGAAAACAAGTACCTATGTGGCCTATTTCATGTGAAAAGCAACTTTTAATTTACCTTACTCACAGCTCATTTCACTTCACGATGATTGACCTTTTGTTTTGTGCGCATATTCAGGGTCCATGCAGTTCTTTTGGAGCATCTAAAATGATGTCTGTAACACAGAGATGTAGCTTAAACTTAACTGGCCAAAGGTGGACACCATTCTTGAGTCTCCAAATTTTTTACCTGTTTGGGAGGCAAGCTGGGAAAATAGGGATCAGACAAACGGTGTGAGGCACTGATGAACCTTCCCTCATTCAGAAGTGCTAGAGACCAAGCTCAAAGTTTAAAATAGGATGAAAGACTGTGATTCTTACCTTTGTAGAACTGGTACTTACCAACCATAGAGATGCCTGGAGAAAGGACAACTTTCAGGGTCAGGAAAGATCGCAGAGGACGCAGCTCCTGGGCTGAGGTACAGAGGATGAGTGAGAGCTGACTACAGTGTGGGGTGGGGTTCCGGTGTGCCAGTCACAGGAGAGGGAAGCTGGGTCACTGGGGCCTGGTAAGTCATTTTTAAAATTGGGTGAGTGAGACAGTGTTTCTCTAGATGAGTGCTGAGATGGGTTAGATCTAGATGGTCTTGCTAGCAGTCATGAAAATGTACCTTTAATATAGGAAATGAAGAGTCAAGAGTGCAAGAGTGGTGACACAAACAGTGTCTTCTCTAGAACATCTTCCTGACTGCAATGATGTGGAGGATGAGTAGAAAAAGAAAGACAAGAGGCAGTGAAACCACTTAAGAAATTATTTCAATGAATTTAGCAAAAGATGATGATGCTTCTCATAAACATGTTGCTGTTAGGGACACAGAAAAACAAATGGATCCAGATATATGTCAGCATTCTGACTATGATATACAGCCTCATAACTATTGGCCATAAGAAATAAGAAAGATGTGAGACCTTCAGGTTGAAGCAATTGTGTGATGTAGGTATACTAGGTCAAGGTAAGAGGAAAGGAGCATTTTCTTATGGAAAGAAAACAAATCATTTGGACACAGTCTCTCTGAAACGATGAAAACAAGGTGATAATGACACAGAGGTCCAGGGAAAAAGGCTTCTAAGAATGGCCATCTCTATTAATACAGCCAAGAAGTCAATGTAAAAAGAAGTAGACTCCTAAGCTCTGCCAAGAAGACCCTGGTTTTTAGTTACAAATTGGGTAGATCAATCAAAAAGGTTAAAGATGTGAGGTTTGCCTGGAAAGAGTTTCCAGAGAGAAAGAGAGAGAGAGAGAGAGAGAGAGAGAGAGAGAGAGAGAGAGAGAGAGAGAGAGACTTCTGACAATAAAAGTGAATCTGTGGGAAGTAAAACAGAAACATCATTAATATTTATGGTGCTTACTATGCATCTTGTAAAATGCTCTACCAATATTACAGTTTTGATATTATCATTATCTTATGAAATTAACATTTTGTAAGTTCCCTTTTCCAGACGAGAAAACCGAGCTTCAGAGAGGCCGAGGCTGCACAGCTGGCACATGGCAGACTTGAAGACAAACCATCAGAACCAGAGCACTGCTCATGACCACGAGAGATGCTGCTTCCTGGGTGACAGGCACAGAACATGACAGAGAGCAGATACTGGAAATATCACATGGCCACAAAGACTTGAGGGTTTGAGCAGTGAACTGATTATTTGTATTCCCTTCCTGGTGACTTTAAAATTGAGCTGCAGCCCTGCAGGAAATTTGTGTAGTCAGAAGGAAAGTAAGTCTCCTCAGACCTGTTGTCACTCTGTTGCTTGGAACTGCACCATCCCTTGTCCATTCCCTTAATTGAGCTCATAATTCTCCAAATAGGAGTGCAGTGAGGTCTCCACATTTGAACCATCTGGGAAGGAATTTTTTTTTGCCTGTGATCCAGAATGACCAAGGCAGTAGTCAAGGGGTAACAGGGACCAAAGGATTAAAAGATGTAACAGGCAGCAAAGCCTGTTAGTCCATCACTGTGAGCAATGATGATGAGTCATAACACATACTCACAAATGTTGACACTTTGCAGTTGTAATGTGCTGTCACTTGTTTTATCATGAGCCAACAAATAATAACAAATAGTAGTGTTACAGAGCAAACACAGGAAAAATCAGCAGTGAGGAGGTTTAGGAGGCATCTTATTACACAGGTAGGTTTGACTGGGATCTCTCTTAAAGAGTCAGATCCCCAACCAGAAGGATTTTGGGGCTTTCATGTGGAGATCAAGGGGGAGGTGCAGAGGCAGATTTAGTGCATTATGATTGGAGGATTGGGTGACATCACAGGTTGCCAAGGGAGCTTAAACATTAACTTAACATTTCAGGTTTCATTGCAAGGCCATCAGTTATACAAAGACAGTAAAGGCAGGGGTTATACAATGAAAAAAATGTTCTGTTATCAGGCCTGTCCAGACATGTGTGCCTGATTTTTGAGGGTGTTCTTTGCAGGCTTTATTTAAAATTTTAATTTCCCTTTCAGTAGGACTTGTAATTTACATTTTAGACAAGACAACTATGTCTCAGAAGTTACTTTACACCAGGTCTCCCTGGTAACAGGGTGGAGCTTTGGATCCCAGGACTGAGATACCCACAGTATCTTTCTGCCACTTGTGCACCTCCCCTTAGAAGTCAGTCCTCTTTCACAAGGTTTCCTGCAGTGAGCAGGCAAGCCATGTCTAAATCACTCTAGGACTCCCCAGGAACTTGTATGTCACACATGGCTAGATTCAAAGGAAACAAAACTTTGCTGTCCACCCCACCCTGGGACTTGTCTCCTTGTGTGAGTTGAAGAAAACAAATAAAGTGTGCCAACCCCATGAACAGTATTGGTCTAGAAAGCAGCCTGTTAAAAGATCCCAGTGGCTGAAAGCAATCGGACCAAATACTGCAAGAGCTCAAAAGCCAAGACACCATGCTGATGACTTTATTGAGCTTTTGGAAAAGATCCCCTTTTCAACATACTGGATACTCCCCACCAGAACTTTGCAAGTTTCTGGAGATCAACCTTGGCTGACTGCAGTTTCAGATCCAACAGCTTCTTCTGAGGACCTGCTCTGCTCTTGATGTTTCATATAGGCATTATATCCTCCTAATTTCCAAGGCATCCTGGAGAGGTGAGACATCTCTGCCCAGGGTCATGGGGCTGGTGAGTGAGAAGGCAGAGGAAAACCCAAGAGTTCTGGTTCATTTATTAACTGAGTCCCTTGATTCTGCTGCCTGTTTAGGAAAAATTTCCTGAAATCTCTCCTCCTTTCCTCTTTCTTTAGCTCTAGCTTGGTGGAAACTTACACAGGAACCAGTCCACAGAGTAGAGGTTGATTCATCCAGTCGAGGATTATGTGGAAGGGCCTGCACTTGATGAAGTGAGACCAGGGCTGGTGGCATGGAGATTATTTAGAGTGGAATTTTCCCCTGGCTTTTCCCCAGATGCGTAGAGTAAGAGTCCTGGACTTGTGCTTGTGTAATGAGGCAAAGGCCTGGGGATCTCCCCAGTGGACTGAGCCCTCAGAAGGCCATTTCTAACCCATGCTGCAGCTTTAGCTGCTGGAGGGAGATGGCAAGGAACATAGATTAATTATTGTTCTTTTTATTGCTGTCTGTTGCCTAAATGATCAAATCAGCATGCCGTCTCACATTTAGATCCTTCTTGACAAATATTCATCTAATTGTTCTTCTCCAGGGAGCCTTCAATCTTCCATCATAGAAGAGAAAGTGGCCATGGAGAGGAACAGGAGGGAAACACTGAATAAACTCCTCGATGTCCAGCGTGGAGTCCAGGGCCTCCTACTCAGACGCAGATGTACTCTCTAATGGAGTAAACTGCTCTGAAATCCACTTGCCTCCAAGATACAGTTGTACCAAATTGCTCCAGGTCTGTGAACATGGCCCACCTTATGCCGCTGAGGCTCATGACCACCATGAACTTCCCAATTCCCCATGTGAGGAATGTCTGCATTTATTTTAGAATCAAAGGTTGTCTTCTCTTTGAAGACTTCCTGATACCTTCCCTCATCAGTGGTAACTCTAGACCCAATCACTCCTTTTCCTGTGCTCTGTAAGAAAGGACTTGCCAGTGGGAGTGTGGGCTTGTCACTTATATGTGCATTCCTCAAGCCCTGATAAGCTCTCTCCGGATGCAGCCCTCCCTGGGCCCACAGCAGATGTTGATGCTTAGCAGGGGTGAATTCTCATCCTCTGAGTGGAGGAGTCGAGAATGGCATCTTTCTCTGGTCCTCACACATGCTGGTTACACAATGGCAATTTATATCTTTGCTCTCAGATCAGACCAGGCTTTGGCTGGATGCCTAAAAGTAGAGTGGACATAAATTAACAGTGGAGCAATTTATAGTCTGTCATGTCTTATTGCTTAATGAATTTGTCAAAAATCATATTACTCTGAAAATTATGGCAAGAAGGGTCCATGGGGCTTATGTCTTTAAGAGGGAGAGTGTTCCAGCCTCACTGAGCAGAGCTGCCTGATCACTTTCCCCTTTTTAATGCAGACAGCAGACTCTCCGAGCACTTCTGTTTATTTATCAAATCTCTGTTGACCTTCATTTTGCATTAGGGCTACCAGGGATGACCTTGGCCAGTTTACAAATCCCTAACCCCAGTCCACCTGCTGTCAGAGCCAAATAGGATTTAGAAGTCCCTCTTACACTCCGATTCCATGCTAATATGATGTCATACATTTCTGGCTTATGTTCATCCTACACTTCATTAGTCACTTCTCAAATCAGCCAACGCTTTGTCCTCTGTAATGAGGGCACCAAGCAGAACCCCCTTTCAGCTCTGCCCCAATTTCTTTCCAACCTGTCTTCTTCCATTTTCTTCCTCTTTCTGCACCCATCTGCTGCCCAAACCTCTCCAGGGCTTTGCTCCTCTCTGTTGTTCGGGGTCTGAATTCTGTTTGAGTGGTGCCATTTTAAAGGGTAGAAAGTCAGGCTTGGGTCAGACTTGGGTCTAGACAGTCTTCTTCATTTGTTAACTGGAAATAGTAACACCTAAAAGAGCGATAGGATGAGGATTAGTGTGCCTAACCTCCATCCACACACACACTCATCCACCCATCCACACACACACTCATCCACCCACCCACCCTATTCTTCTGTCCATCCATTCACCCATGCTTTTATCCAAAACTCGTGTTTTCATTTAGTAAATGTTACAGCACTGCTGGAATACTTAAAATGAGTCAGTCCCAATGCTTGGCATTTAGGATACATAGTTGAATTCTAGTCACAGTTCTCAAGGATTTTGGAGTCTAATGGAATGAAAAAATGAAGAGATACATACAAACTAATATGGAGACTTTAGTGATTGAGAGAGACATGTTCCCCTGCATTCTTGAAAGGCTCCTGGGAGCATGCAGACAGCTGCGAAGCTCTGTTCATGGCGCTGTCCTTGGGACTGGGGCAGGAGTGATAGGGAGCTGCTGTGAATCCAGCTTTTACAGTGGCTGTTCAGGTTCCTACTGTCTCCATCAGTTTCTTTCTGTATATTTCTGATTTTGTTTTTCTTTATATCTATTTCTCCCTTAATATCCCATTTGTCTTATAGCTCTTTGGAGGTCATGTGCCTATGGATAAGCTGGTGGCATTTGGAAGTTTTTTTTGTTGTTGTTGTTTTTGTTTCAGTGCTGGGGGTCAAATTTGAGACCTCATGTATGTTAGGCAAGTGCCCTACTACTGGGCTACAATCCCAGTCCCAAGTTGGATCTTTTTCTTACATGTTTTTCCAAAGGAAAAATTACCCCATGGCACCTGAACATGCAGAAGAGCCAGGGTCCCCTGGAGGCAGTGAGGATAGACCCCAGAGGTGTCAGGTGCCCAGACAGCTCCCTGGCTCCTCCTAAGTTCTGTCTGCTTGGCTACTTGGAAGCAGCCCAGCCAGCAAACAGTTAACTAAAACTCTGTTCGCCCATTTCATTTCCATCTCTTTGTTCTGTGCAACCAAAGAGCTAATGGCTGGCGAATTTATTATGACCCATTGTTTGGTTTGTAGAATCAACCAATTCTTTCCCTTTCTATGTTCTGACTCCCCCTTTGTCTGAAATTTTATTTTATGGTTCTTTTTGTACATATCCAACACATGCTGAGGTTATTGAAAAAGCACAAATGACACAGAATTCAATTTGCATATCTATGGAGGGTCCTATCCCAGAGTCCTCGCCAGGCAAAGTGCCCACTGACTCCTGCATCTTTCCCTATGCTTACTTTGGCATCAGCTCTGCCAGGCTGCCCTTGCCGCACCTGGCGGACCTGTGCATGGCCTTCAGGGTAGCTTCAGCATTGCCCTGCAGAGCACAATGTGCTGGGCTGCAGGAGGTTCCAGGAATGTCCCTCAGGAAACCTGGAAAGACAACATTGTGCACAAGAGACCAGAGGGCAGCTCCACGGGGCCAAGTTAGCACCGAGGGACTGAAGAGATTCAGGTGCCCTAGCCAGTAGGGCTGTATGCTCTCTAACTGCTTTCTATAAAAGCTAAACTTTTGGTTTTGGGGTAGTTGTAGACCCATAGGTGTGAGATGTGAGAAATGACACAACGAGAGCTCATGGACTCTTCTCATGTGTTCATCTCAGGCATGCTTACTTATCTAGCCAAGTTCCATCCTTGCCAGCTATACAACAAGAGCCATAGCAGTGCACAGGGCTGTGAGACTCTGGATGGCATCTGTGAGACATCTCATCTGTTCTCAGTAACCACTGCCTTCCTCCCTACTGGTTAAATGATGATGGCCACATAACCCTGATTAATGGGGAGTATTAGCCAGGACAGTCTCCAGTGCTCATGCATGGTTTTGATCTAAATTCTATCATGGAAAATAGGACATTTTAAGGTTTGATGTAAAAATGATGCATTTAGTAGAAGATTATAACTTAACATCTAGTTAAAATTACTGCTAATATTCTGCTGTATGCCTCTCATAGTTACAGATTTAAAAAACAAAAGATGTGATTATACCTCTCGTACTCTTTTGTAACCATAATAAAACAGGGCAGTCTATTTTAGGACTGCATGATATGATAAAGAGAACCATATTTAAAAAAAAACTTTGATACACAATATTTCACTACAGACATTTTCTTTCTTCTCATTCTCTTCTTTTTTTTTAAAATTTTTATTTAAAGAGAAAAAAAGCAAAACAGAAAAAAGGGTAGCAACAATACAAAATTCCAAAAAAATACTAAGCAATCACTACTTGATAAATTATATATTGTCATCTTAGAAATAGTTGTTCAAGTTACAAAATTAAAGCATAAAAAGTGGACATTCAAACAGTTCTGCTCAACAATCCAACAAAAACTTAATAATATGGTCATCAATCCTACACACTGAAACATACATGTAGTCATATCCTTTATCTCATTCTCTTCTAACTCCTCCTCGAACTCCTTCCCTCTTTCTCTTCTTCCCATTCCTTCTTTTTCTACTTACAGTGAAGAGATGTGCATTAAACATTCTTGAATACAAATCTTTGCACTTTTCCATGATTTGTCTTAGGATGCAGGGAGTAAATACTTAGAGCTTAAAAGGCCTGTCAATCCTGTTTTTGAGACATAGTGTTGTAGTCAGGGGTTGTGGGGAGAACAATTAAAATCAAGACATGGAATTTATAATATTATATTATGATGGTCACCCAGAGTTAACACAAGAAACTTCAGGAAATTTGTCCACAGCACCAGACACAGAATATTCAACCAAGGGCCTGGATCCCACAGCAATGTCCCATATAAGTCCAGATGAAGACCCAGAGCTCCTGACAATGCCTCCCACAAGTCCAACTGGAGGTCCAGAGCCCACAAGGACTCATCAGTCTCTTTTACGAATCTGTGCTGGGAAGGTCCATAGGTTAGTGGTGGAAGCTAGAAAGTCAATGCCAGAGGGGTGATGGAGCTGTGCTGGTGGGTTGAGTGTTCTATGCTAGACCTGAGAAATCACGCTCAAAAAAAAAAAAAAAAAAAAAGACCAGGGCTGTCCTGAAAAGCACCACAGTCAACCTCAGCAACACAGAGGCCTGAGCTCTTCTGACAATAAGCACAGTCAAGTACATGCCAGGAAGCCAGCGTGATGAGTTTGTCCTGGAGACCAAGCAGCACACATCTTTTTCTCCGGAGCCAGGAAGCAATGCTCAATGTGAGGACCAGAGCTTCTCCAGGAGAAACAACGGCTCAAACAGCAACACGTAAGAGAACCCAAAATGCTTCAATGCCTCTTTTCTCCTTCCTCCATGTCTCTACTTATGCTGGCAACTTGCCTTGGGTGGAACATCTCTGCTCAGCAGCATGATGATTTAATTCCACTGGCTCTAAGTTGACCACCAATTTTAATCTATACCACATAGTAAACCACATTATTGCCAATTACTTAAAGAGGCAGTTCCTGAATTGGGTTGTATGTAAGAATGATCTTGAGAGATTTTTAAGTTTATACACTAATACCATGGTGCCGGACCACTCTGAGCTTGAACTTTCGACTACTCAAGCAGCAAATTTTGAAAAACATCTGCTCATATTCATAAATTTGCTTGACATTTGAACTGAAAATCATGTCTCACTACAGACACAGAGGGTGACGCTTCAGTGAAAGCGTCGCTCTCACCCAGTAGATGTACAGTGTGTCAGCGTGTTTAAACATCCGGTATTCTGCTGTTTTGCATGCTTTGTGTTAGAATATCGTAACCATGGCTCCAAAGAAGGTAAAACTGATAGAAAAACTATAAGAATCACAACAGAGTTACAGAAAGAAATCATTGAAAAATTTGTTAAAGTTCTGGAAAAATAAATTTAATGTAATTTTTGAACCTCAGAACCAATTGTTTTTTATTATTTCTTATGAGAAAAATATGTCCAGTTGTTGAACTTTTCATTGTTCAAACATGCATTTGGAACAAGTTGAGTTCCATAACTAGGTATCACTGTAGTTCCTTAGTCTCGAGCACTGCGGAAATATATGCCAAGGATCCCACACAAACCTTAAGTAACTGTATTTCTAAGATGTTAATATTGTATGCCCCTCAGGGGGAAAACTGTGTATTGCTTAAGTGTCACTGTTGACAGTGAGACAGTGGTAAGATAACATCTCCCAGTGATGTGAGACTGGAAGGAAGATTTGCTTTGCTGGGAGATGATATCAGGTTGGCTGAAGACCTGTGCTGGGATCCAGGGGGGCCCCAGCTGAGGGCACCTCCAATGAACCAGCACTTTCTATCTAAGCCTGAGCTGCTCAGTTACAGAACACTGGGAATCGTGCCCCAGGCAGGAGTGTGCTCCCACTTACACAGGAGGGTATGGAAACTCATTCAGTTATCTCTTTTGCCCAAGCCAGTATTCACACAGCCAGGTTTTGAACACAAGTCTTGCCAAAGTGCACACTTCTTTTTTCCCACCATACATGCAGTGTTATGAACTTGGACCTTCAAAGCTAGCTTCACCCAGAATGCCAGTGGGAGGGGATGTGAAAGCACCTGTGACAAAGACTGACTGTAGCACTGTCAGAATGCATGCCAGACATCACCAGCACTAGGATTCTCGGGGAAGGAGGAGAACGTTAAAAATACTGATTGTCTGGCCTATTGCAGGTCAACTGAATTTGGATCGTAAATGGGGACCTAAAGCTCCAGGTGTTTGTGATGTATGCTGAATTTTGAGAGTCAGTGGCTAAGAGCTTTAACTAATCTTGGGTTTAATGTAAACTGACCAGGTAATAGGTCTGAAAAGACAAAGCAATATTGATGCAAAACTAATTTACTGTGATCCAGGCACAGATACTGCCTGCCCTAATGAATTCTGTAGCAACTCACTTTAAGGACGTTTAACATTCGTGGCACACACAGAAGAACAGCCAGCTTGGCAGGACTCTGCGTGAGGCTAAAGGACCCTGGCAGCTCAGCCTGGGATGAGATGATGTGAGAGAGAAAGGCACTAAGATGGAGCTTTGGGTTTCCTTCTTACCTGGCTCTGCGGACCACAGCTGCGGAGCCCAAGACAGGGAACACGTGTTCGGAAAGCAGGGATGCAGAGGAGCTCATCTCGGAGACACCACAGATGCTTTCCATCCTCAGGCATAGGTCTCAGGCATCCCCTGCCTGAGCCCTCAACAGCTGCATTGTCCCACTCTGGTTTTTGTTCATTATTCAGTGTTTCCTCACCATGAGTGCTGAGAGGTTCAGGGAATCAAAGATGGTGGCAATAGTGTCCTCTCAGAGCTCCAAGTGTGTTTGGGGATGGTACATCTCAAAAGTAGATGCTGAAATATATGCACTTAAACTCTTCTATTACTGTCACATAAGAAAAGATATTGTGCATTAATCTAAACTCCAAAGAACAGATTATAGTAAGCAGGATGGATAGGAATCAACAAACAGCAACGATGAATGCTTGGCTGTGTACAAACCTTCACCTCCCCTCCCAGGGCCATTGTGTGTGCATACTGAGGCCATTCAATCCAAAAATAAGGTTTAAATGTGGTGATTATTATTCATGTTCCTGTCACAGCCTTGAGGGTGGCTACTTTACAGCTGAGGACACTGAGGACCAGGATTGAATCTTGGATCACAGGCAGATTTTCACGGAAGGCGGTGTTGATGTAGGCGGCGGTGGTGGTAGGGGAGGTGGCTTTGCTCTTTTGTGACAGTATGGGTGAAGAAATGTGCTGTATGTATGTCAGATGCAGACAAGAGGGTCTTGGGTGGAGGGGCTGTCTGATAAAGCTGACCTAAGGATGACCGTCTAGACCAGTCTCGTCTCACGTGGCTTCATGAAGTTCTCCTCTGAGAGGTGTCTTCCAGACCCAGGACATCCAGCCACTCACACGTTGTCTTGCTGTCACAACACTCTCAGGGAGCCAGGAAGAGTCTGCATTTATATCTCCAGCTGTAGTCTCTGCCTCCTTCTTCTCTCTCCTTTTCTCTCTCCCTATTCTGGGCTAGTAGCAACACTGGCTTGGGAGAGTTTGGCTAAATTCTGCTCTGCTCGTCCATCCACACTTGTCCTTCATCTTCTTTTTGGTAACAATTTCTTGTATATTTACTATGTGCTAGAATTTGTGCTAAGCACTTTGAATAGACCATCCAAGTCCTTGTGAAATGACACGAGGCAAGTTTTGTTGTCCCATTAAAAATATAAAAAGATAGCTCCAGAATATCAAATCGTTTCTTAAAAGTGGCCTGCTATGGTCAGTCAATGTTTATGTAGGTTCTCAAGCCTGGGCATTGGGACTTTAAGGACATAGCAAGGGGTGTCGTGTAACCACTGTGTCCAGTCTGCTGGCATGTTTGCCATTGACACAGGTCATCGCAGTAGTAGAAGTTAGGAAGGAAATGTTAACAACTTCTGAGAAGCAGATTCAGGAAAGCCAGTGTACAGAGTTTTGCACATATTGGTGATATGACTTGGAATTGTTTATCTTGAAGGCAACATGGGAATGGATGCTTAGGCTGTCATCCTGAGTGCTTACAGAGTTAGAAAAATTAGAGCTTTAACTGTGCTGCTTAATTCATGTGTGACTTTGGGCATTTTGTTTTTGCTTGTTCTCATCTGTTCAATGGGAGTACTATTGTGGCCAACATTTGGCAACTATAAGTTAAAGCCATGGCAGGATTCCTAGGGTACAGCGAGTACCCCACATGATCTCATTATGAATATGAGGTTATGATTATCCTTTAAGGATGCTCCATTCTTCATTGAGCTGCTCTCAGTGGGGTGTGATTTGGTGAGTTATTTACCACCATTAGATGGAAATGCCCTTTACAACTATGCTTTTCCCTCTATATTCTCTTGATCTCTCTCTCTTATGGACTTACACTGCCCTGGAAGAGGTGACAAGACTCCTCAGTCAGGTGAGGATAATTTGGGGTGCTCTTTTCTTTTTCCTCTTGGGAAGAAGCAACCTCGTCCTGCAGCTACTATCTCTTCTGTGTGGCGCTCTTCTGGGGCCCCTGCACATTTCTCACTCTCCTTGAGCTCAAGATGCTGGCTCTTGGTTTTGGTGCTGAGAAAGCCATATTGACTCTTATGCTGGTCCATGTCCTACAATCTATCAGTACAAGTACTAAAATCAATATTTTCTTAAAATCATTTCCATATGAGTCTTGGTGTTATGTGGCATAGTCATGTTACCATAGTAGGCAACTGATTGTATATTTTATGAGGAACTAAGAGGGAGGAATCTGTAGGCTCCAAACACAAATGGTAAGTGTTTAAGGAGATAAATATACCTCTTACTCTGTTTTGATCAACACACATTGTGCACACACCAAATGATCAGAGTGTGCCCCATAAGCACACATTGTTATCATGTGTCAATCAAACATAAATGAATAAAAAAAGAAGTCTGTGCCTCCTCATAAGCTATAATTTTTCAGGGAAAATAATGCAATAAGCAAACAGAATAATAGTGGCATGCTGGTTGGTGGGGCACAAGGAGATGGGGTAAGACCAGACACTGGAGAGGCTTGAAGTAAGCATCTAGGAGCTCTCACTAGACTGGGAAGATATGAAAACAGTCTAGAGATGGAGAGCAGAGAGGTTGTGATTGGGAGGAAGAACTGAGGGAAAGAATTGGGGAAAGTGGTATTATGGTCAGAAAGTTGCATGTTTGGCTCTTTATTTAAAAAGTAGAGAAGTAGAAAAGTAGAGAGCAACTAAGCTCTTGGTGTACTGTCAGAAGGCCTGGCCTGTGGGATAACTCACTACGAGAACAGCGACTGAGGGAGTAGAGACTGGGATGGCACCAAAGTTACTTAAAACAATCAAGAAGACTGCAGGAAGCTTCAGTGAGTAGCTCTGAATTGATGACTTTAAACTGCCACTCCTTTGCTTATTACCCAGTTTGTTTATGACTCTGAAGGTCAAGGGATGTGCTATTTATCACACACTTCTTCATCAGTCTCCCCACAGCACTCCCACAGCAAAACCTGAGTGAGGTTCACTTCACAAGAGTTTGCAGGTCCAGGCTGCACAGGCCTGGCAGTGTGGCATGGCAGGCTGACATGACCCATGGGAAGCCCACAGTCCCATGTGACCATGCAGGGGTGCAGATAAGCAAGAGCAAAGACTGCATTTTCCTCGAGTTGGTCAGGGAGGTGGGGCCAGAGGTGTCTGGAAGGAGGGTGCAGCTGGGTCCTTGAAGGGTCCTGGAGAGCAGGAGGAACAGTGCTGGCCTGGAAGAGGGAAGGAACCTGGGCCCTGAGAGGCTACTTCCTACCCAAACCCAGTGTGGATTTGCTGTGGTGGGCAGTGATCAGTGCCACCATTTATCCCTGCAGGAGCTCAGCCAGGCAAGTTCCCCGCTCTGGCTCTGCACTACAGAACGGAGACCACCTTGTCCCTCTCTAGGCAGCTGCGATGGAGTAAAACCCAGTGGCACCACTGCTGAGACCAAAGCGTGATCTGGGCTGTGGGAGATGGAGGCGGCTCACTCAGGGCCAGTGCTCCTGTCTTTCTTTCCACAAATGGTGTCCGAAGCATTGGAGTTCTAAGAATAAAGCTAAACACTCATAATTTTAAAGCAGATGTAGCCATTACCCAGTAGGTCAGTTTTCAACTTTTAACTGTATTTGCAAAAGTTTTTAAGCTCTGTTTTCTTTTCAATTATTCAGTTCTACTAAATTTTTAATAAAATAAATGTGAATATATAACTACCATGACCAAATTACAGGTTCAATATCTTCTACCAATTATTACATTTAGTTTCTAAAGTTTTAAAGAGCAGGATTACTAAACAGGATCTTGTGAAATCAAGGCTTACAAGTGGTTTCATCCACCTCAATTTTTTATTATAGATTCTCTTTTAAAGTCTTAT